CTCTCTATCACTCCTCTATCGCTCTCTCTCTTGCTCTCCCTCTCCCTCTCCCCAGCAAGTATTATTTCTCTTATTTCTTTTATATAGCCTCATCACATTCTCTCAGTTGTAACATTTCTCTAATATATTTTTTTTTTAAATTCTCGTATATAAAAAAATATAAAAACAGAATTGTGCTGTACACATAAATTTTCCAGTCTACTGATTGTTGTTCCATTGTGTAACACAAATAAAAACATGAGAAAATAACCTTTTTTTATTCACTGTGTCTTCTGTAGACAAAGACGCATGTACAATTGCCTTTGGAAAGTAGTTATAACTTCACTTACCTGCCTTCTAAATGAGGGGAGGGGAAGAGAAACTATATACAAAACTCTCGCAGACCGCAGGGAAATAATTATGTATGTGTATAAGACTTATAGGTAGTCAAACTTAAGATAGCATATGACGATATAAATCTAAATTGTAAAGTTTTAGAACTTAACTGAAAGCTATCAAATTTTCCAACAAAATGCTCCATAAAGAAAATCACTAACCAAATAGAGGAGGAGAGTGCAGGGAAGTGTGGCTAGACTATACAGAGAAGTTAACAGTCGCCAATGTCTATTGCATGTTCATATGCTCTCTCATATTCCTCAATTCCAGCTGAAACTAATAGCCTCTTCTCTCAATCTGTGATGATGTGATGACAGTCCTGACACTGTCCTTCTTAAGATCTTGTTGCTCCTCTGAATTTTATCATCCATGTGTGTCATGTTTTTGTTGAGCTGATCTATTTTTCTTAGCTCCGTAGCTGTCTGTCTGTCTTCCCTTGAAGCGGCCTGACCCTTTTCAGACTTCGGTATTCAACATAGAAGAGGGAAACATTGTCTAAATGGTCCTGTTACAACTGAGCATGTATAGAACTCAATTTTTTTTACTGTGTTAAAGTATTTACTTCATTTTTCGAAGAAAGATATTTGTTTAGTGACTCTTTCAGAGAGCAGTAAGCTTGACAACGTCGACATTAAAAGCAGGGTACTGACAGCTGTTGCTTCAGCACTAAATGGGCATACTAGAGAAGAGGAGAGAGAATATGTGATATTATCTGTAAATAAAATAAAACTGGTTGTGTTAGTTAGCTAATATCAAGAAGATTAGTCTGTGAACTGTGTGGACTTGCCACCTGGTTATGTGTGTCAATTTTTTTTAATGCTTATGTATAATAAACGTTTAACATTAGTTATATTACTGCTGAAGCACTTCAGTAATTCCCATTAATAACAATGAAACATGTAGAACAACAATGCTAGAGGGGGAAATATAAAAATATACCGTTAAATCACACAACTCTGAATATATTCTAGTAAATACTAGAATAGTGCTATATAAATAAACTATATTTTAGAATAGTCCTATATAAATAAACTTTGACTTGACTTGATGTGTGTTCTTAGCTGTAGGTGATTTCAACCACTGTAATTTACTGACAGTACTACCCAAATCACCAATTTGTGAAATTTCCCAGAGAAGAACTCACAGCAATACAGCAATATTTGTAGTGTCTACAAAGCTATGCCCTGCCCCTACTTTGGAAAGTCAGACAACATCTTTTTGTTTCTCTACCTGACATAGAAACAACTCCTCAAGCAAGTTCCCCCAGTAAGAAAAACTGCCACTAGCTACAGCGGTGACCACTTACATCAGTACCTGCATTGACAACATAGTGCCCACAAATTGGAACCAGATATACCCCAATCAAAAGATAGATAAAATAGGTAGATAAAATGTGTATCTTCACATATTGTATGCAGAAATTAATTAGAATTTAATCTATTAGTCAGTTTTTAAAAGTATTCTTACAACATTTAGTTTTTCTGTAGTCTTCCTAAATGTTGTAAAACCTATGAATAAAGATTAAAATCTATTATTAGCATTAAAGAAGTTGATTTAAAGTGAAACATTATTCTTATTGTTGTACTTATACCTACATGTGGCATCCCATTGCTTCACCTATTGGGAGTGGTGTCATTATTTGTTACTCTGATACACTGTCCCTGCCTCATGCTGCATCCTTCTGCCTTGCCCTAGCCACGCAGTGGGACTAAAGTGAAGCGCCGCACCCCAGGGGCTTATTGCCTGTGCTTAACCACAGCCAAGCTGAGGTACTGTTGCTGTGATCAAGAGAGTGTTCCCATGTCAAGTAAACAGCTGTTCAAGCCAGTTCCTCCCTTTCCCTTTGGAGAATCATCAGCCTGCTAAATATGAGTGAGTCTATGTTACAAGTCATGTGGTGCTTCACAGAATAATAATAATAAGAAGAATAAGAAAATAATAATAATAATAATAAGTCATATGCACATTGTTTTGTGTAAAAACACATCACAACCACTGCATATTATCAGCCTCAAACACATCAAGCTGGAGATTAACAGCACAACACTCACTGGCCTCAATCATAACTTGTTCAAAATCACAATCAGCTCAGCATTCAGCAAATACCATAGAATATCTGACATTTTCAAAATAAGACAGCCTGGAACTGCTATTTTTCTACATTGTTGATTGGTAAATGTGAGAAGGACCTCTCACAAGGTGCAGTGACAGGTGCCCAGCAGTGCGACAGATTTAAACTGTTGGGAATATATATTTTAAAAAATATTTTTCTCAATCCCCCCTCCAAATTTATAGACACAAATCAGCCTAATTATGTATTTAGTAGAAAAAGGTCATATTTTGAAAAAAAAAACTATATTTCTTATTTTGCTTGTGGCAACAAGCGGAAGGTGCCCAGCATTCCTATTGAACGCAATGACTCAATTGGTATTATTTAACCATATTTCAGTTCAGTTTAGTCATAAGCTATTACACTCTATTTATTTTATGTAGTGTGGCTGAAACTAACTTTTAGGCAAAGACAGCCTGTCACCTAATTCAACATTTATTAAAACAAATAAACAGCTGTTATAGGTAGAAGCTAAACAGCTAGATAATGAGATCCAACTGACAGCTATTTGGTCCTTATGAATGATGGTTATTAAAATACTTTATTTGTGGCGACAAACTAATGATGTTAACTTCTGTATCCCCTGATACACAATGATCCTAGCTGGGATGCTCTGCATTGTTGTAATTAAGACTCGATTGTCAATCAAACAATCGAGATTTGTATCTATTCACCCTCTATAATCCTTTATAGTAGAACCCCGTTTCCAAAAATGTACAAAAATGTTCCAAAAATTACGTTTCTGCAAAATGTAAATAAAAACAAAATTCAATGTTGTGCAAATCATTTAAATCCTATATTTAATTGAAAATAGTACAAAGACAACAAATCAAATGTTGAAACTGAAAAATTTTATTGTTTTTTGAAAAATATATGCCCATGCCAACAACATGGTCCAAAAAGTTGGGACGGGGCATCTTCACCACTGTGTTTTATCACCTCTTTCTTTAACAAACTCTGTAAGCGTTTGGGAACTCAGGAGACCAACTGCTGTAGTTTTGAAAGTTAAATGTTTTCCCATTCTGGTTTGATATAGGATTTCAGCTGCTCATCAGTTCAGGGTCTCCTTTGTCATATTTTTCATTTTATAATGTGGAAAATGTTATCAGTAGGTGACAGGTCTGGACTGCAGGCAGGCCAGTTTACCTCCCAGACTCTTTTAATACAGAGCCATGCTGTTGTAATACATGCAGAATGTGGTTTGACATTATCCTGAAATAAGCAAGGCCTTCCCTGAAAAAGACAGAGTCTGGATGGCAGCATATGTTGCCAAAACATGTATATATCATTCAGCATTAATGGTGCCTTCACAGATGTGCCAGTCACCTATGCCATGTGTACTAATGCACCCCTATACTATCATGAATACTGGCTTTTGAACTGTACGCTGATAACAAGCTGAGTGGTCTTTAGCCCAGAGGACACAGTGTCCATGATTTCAAAAAAGTAATTCAAATGTTGCTTTGTCAGACCACAGAACACTTTTCCACTTCCCCTCAGTCCATTTTAAATGAGCCTGGGCCCAGAGAAGGTGGCAGCATTCCTGGATCCTGTTTATATATGGTTTCTTCTTTGCGTTTAACAGTTTTAATTAGCATTTGTGGATGCAGCGCCGAACTTGTTTCATAGACAATGTTTTTCAGAACTGTTTCTTAGCCCATGCAGTGATTTCCACTACAGAATCATGTCTATTTTTAATGCAGTGTCGCCAGAGGGCCCAAAGATCATGGCCAACAAATACTGGTTTTTGGCCTTGTCCCTTTCATACAGAGATTTCTCCAGATTCTCAGAATCTTCTAATGTTATTATGTACCGTAGATGATGAAAAGCAAAAGTCATTTGCTATTTTATGTTGAGAAACATTATTCTTGAATTGTTGCACTATTCATTTGTGCAATCTTTCACAGACTGGTGAGCCCCTCCTCATCTTTACTTCTGCAAGACTCAGCCTCTCTGGGACGCTCATTCTATACATAATCACGTTACTGACCAGTTGCCAATTCACCACCAGGTGTTTTTTTAAGCATTACACAACTTTACCAGCCTTTTGTTGCCCCCGTTCCAACTTTTTTGGAACTTTTTGCTTGCATCAAATTCAAAATGGGCATATATTTTTGAGAAACAATAAAATTTCTCAGTTTCAACATTTGATATGTTGTCTTTGAAGCATTTTCAATTAAATATAGGGTTTAAATGATTTGCACAACATTGCATTTTGTTTTTATTTACATTTTTCACAGCGTCCCAACTTTTTTTGGAAATGGGGTTGTATTAATGTCTTCCTTTAAAAGATGTACTGTAGATATCAGTAAGTTAGTGTGTGAGGTCATGCATGTTCACTCGTCTACTGTCTTTGAACTGTTATGGATGGCTCTGCCTTTGGTAGTTGTATTATTTAAATGATTACTTTTTTTTCTCAGGCTCCCTCCTTCTGGATCTAGAAAAAAATGTCAGTGTATCCTCATGCAGAGTAGCCGATTGTCAGTATTTGTGGTGCTATAGCCAGGACTCTTACCATTCGGTGAATCTTGTCCTCCAGGTCCTGGTTTATCCTCTGCAGTGCTGCATAGCTGCTCTGTATCCTGTGGAAAGTAACAGGAGATCATCTTCTGTAACACTGCAAGCTTCAGTTACACACTGAAGACAGACTACATTCAATTGTGGCATGTAGACACACACACACACACACACACACACACACACATCTTCTAAGCCACTTATCCTTCTGGGTCGTGGGGGGTGGAGCCTATATGATATCACAAAACAGGAAGTGTAATTATTTTTCATGTATACAATACTGTGAAAATATAAACTAATGGTAGTAATGGATGTCTCATTTACAAAGCACATTCTCCTTTTGTTTGGTTTCCAGCACATTAGTGTAGTAATGATACAGCCTGCTTTTTAGTACTGGAGAATCACTGTTATTGTGCCAGCTATATTCACATTGATATATCTTTCTTGTAAACTGCCAACAAGCGAGGCTGCACTGATTTTTAGGTGTTTTCTCCAGAGAAATGCTTAAAGAAATCTGAAGAGTAGACAAAAAAGCATGACTAAAACCTTTTCAAAAAGGTTCTATATAGAACCATCTATAGCACATTCTCCAAAGAACTCTTTCACAATTCCTTATGAGAATGGTCAATGTTCAACGGTTAATGTTCAACTATTACTCATAGGATCTTCCTTATAAAAAAGATCCTATGAGTCATAACTGAAAAAGAATTTTAGATGCAGTCTGTTGGGGTGTGAAAGTTATATTTTTGTTTGCCCGAAGCATGTGACCCATAAAAATAGAAAATTAAATTTTAAATGCAGAGTTTTCTTTCCTATACGTTACTGCAGTTTCTCCCTTTCCCCTTCTCTCTCTCTCTCTCTCTCTCTCTGGGATCAAAGTGTAAAGATAATAATAATGAAAGTTTTATCTTAGTGAAAATGGGTTATTGTACTGTGTTAACCTTTTTCCCTGTCATATTCTAAACCTGGGCTGCTTTCTCTGACGTGATGACATGTGTCATGTGTATTATACAAATAGGGCAAACAGATCACACGTTATTGCTATGTGAGGTGACATGAATAAACTATACAATATTTGAATTACACACATTTGCTTCTACTATATTAATTATAAAACGTAATTGTCTGTTGTAAAGTGGCTTGTGAAATATGGTCAAACAAGTAGCTTTGACAGTGTATAAAAAATCCAGAGTGAATGGATTAGTTTGGTCTTAGCAAAGGTGTTCAAGTCTGTGAAATTGATGGTCCTGTTTCCATGCTTTAAGGGTGATGGCAGTGTTGTGCCATAGAAATAATGAGCAAAAGTCATCAGAGCAAAGGTCTTAATGTGAATATTTAATTTGCTTGTGAAATCATGCATTAAAAGCTAAAGAGGCTATCCACATGGTAAGATCAGTTTGTGCTAGTATATATGAAAATACATTTTTAAAGTCACCCTCCTAACTGGCTTTTATTCACAGTGCATTTAGATTAGAACAATAAAATGCCCTGACTCACTGACAGCTTGCATTGTAAGTTTTTGAAGGGGGTGGTGAGACAATCAGTGTGTCCGCTACAGCTACTGGGTTAATCACTGTGCACAACAAGCACTGAACTATTAAAATGTGGTTCCTGACTTCACGGTCCACTCCAGCCATCACATAATTTGTTCAATTCCATCAGCAGCACCTGATTTAATTTAATTAAGGACTGATAGATAAAATAGGTATTGGATGGTAACTATATATACTGGAATTCCTCAAAGAGAGCTTTGGCATATTGTTAAACTAAGGGTGCTTTCCTTAGTTTAAGTAGGTGTGAAAGGTGCCTTGGACCATGGTCCAACCAAAAGATGTGGTCTTGGTCTAGATCAAACTTTTTTGGATGGTTCTGTCTTTCAGACCAATTACAGGAAGTTTGATGTACTAGTACTGACATTTCATTTACACAAAGATATAGATGCTTCATGAGCTGCTTTATTTAAATGAAAATGTACTTCCAGAACTGCATATTAATGCTGAATGTGAGTATTTAATAATTGTGACAAAATAATAATTAAAATGTTATTTATCTCTCTAATAATGCATTTAATAGCATCACAAAAAAGACCAAGCTAGAAAGACAGCAACATACAAATGTAAAAGGCAAACAGCGTCTCTCCTCTTTGCAATTACAAATTCTTGCCTACTGCACTCAAGTAAAAATGAGCCACAATAGCAAATGGGAAGATAAACATTCAAACTTCCTTGGGATGTGTTTATTATGGGTGGGTGGGTGTATTTTAGTTTGGGAACTACACTCTGTTATATTCGTAGTGCTCTTGTTTTCTTTTTGTGGTGTATGTATTTGTTTTTATTTCCATCATTATATTTTCGTTCTATTGGCATACTGTTAACATACAAAAAATAAATCCAATTTAACATGACTGAAATTATAACTTTTGCCTATGGCCTCTGAACCTTAGTTCACCTCCTGGACTGCATGGGGACTAAACAAACTTGTCAAGCTAAAGCAAGTAATGAGTAGAATACAGCAAATAAAAGCCAAAATAGTTTTTCTCCAGGAGACCAACTTACCTCATAAGGATGTAGTTAGGGTGAGGAGGAGATGGTTGGGTGTTTTGAAATCTTTCACCTCACACTCACGAGAAGTCATCACTCTCATACATAATCTGTGCCTTTCTAGCTCCTTAGTGTTACTGAAGATTGATTTGGTAAATACTCAACTATTTAATGTCAAATTCTTTAAGTAAGATCAAATCTGGTTAATGTATATGGGACATACATTAATAATAATTCAGCTTTTTCAGACACTTGTTCTTATCACTAGCTGCTCTGCCTGGCCATTTTGTTATCGGTGGGAATTTCAAATGTGCACTCCAACCAGAGCTAGATAGATCCCATGGAATATATGCCTCCCATCCTCAAGCAAGACAAGAGCTACTTTCATGTATAAAAAAAACTTTAACCTGCTCAATATGTGGAGAAGTAAACACCCTGACCAACTAACATTTTCCTGTCACTTCAGTACTTGCAAGACTTTCTCCAGAAATTATTTTTATCTAGTCTCAGCTGATTTAATATCCAAAATTGCAAGGTGTTCAAATGATAGCATTATGATCTCGTAGCTTTTCACTAGCTCCAGCTCTGATTGGTGTCACACAGTCTAGAAGTGCCTTCCCCCACAGGAATTTCAAAATAGACAGTTTGAAAGACAGGGTATCTGGAACCAATACACATATCAAAAGAGACGCAGGTATGCATTCCATATAGTTTCTAGGTACAGTTCGTTATGAGTAACTTAACCACAATATGATTGTGAACTGAAGAGAACAAACAAAACCACAAATGAAAAGAAGATATGCATTCAGGTTTGCATAATCATTAGAGCTGTACATTTTCCTAAAAGAAAAAGATTACTTGGTTAGGATTAATAAGGCAATAAACATTCTTCACTTCTAGCATCTACTGATAGAAGAAATACATGTTTTAGGAATTAACTAAGTAACATACAAGTAGTATCACTTTTACGCAATGTAAAGTTTCAAACATCATGCACACAATGTGAATAATAGTTCTTTCAATCCTGGATGGAATGGTTTGATTTAGATTTCATATAAGTTTTAGAAATTTGTTTTTTGTTACTCAAAGAGTTTTGGTTAAGTCAAGGTGTTCTATTGTTACATTGACTGATCTCAGTGATGGGAGGTATGGATAACCCACTGCTGAGGTCAGGGCTTGATTCCTGGCAGAAACTCTTAACCATAAAAGTTGTGACTGCTTTAATCTTGTTTATGGGAGTAATCCAGACTCTGTGGAGCCAAAAATATTAGCTTTTGGGGGTCGTTGAGAGGTCTAGTAAACAAACAGGGTTCCAGGTGTCCACTACAACTTCCCAAGATGGTGCCTCCAGACAACTTGGCTTAAGAATTCAGAATTCATAAAGTTTATTGGAGCACTTTTATTTTGAAAATTACACTGATTGCACATCTGCTGTAAGGTAGGAAGCCTTTTTAAGAGGCTTGATGATAAGCTTTACAAGCTTTAAACACAAAGCTTACAGATGGGCAACTTGAAAAATTGCTGAAAGAAATTAAAACTAAATTTTGCAAAATCCTTGCCACCAGTTAAATATGGAGCTCCATAAACTGAGAGCTAAATACAATGTTTTATTTACAAATAAGGCAACAACACACCTGTGAGACTAAGGCAATCCAATAATGAGCAAGGTGAAAAAGCTAGTAAATTGTTAGCCTGGCACATTACACAGATGCAAGCAGAGAGGGTAATAAACTCAATTCAAACAGAGCATAGGCGATCATTACCTCTGATTGAAAAAAAAACCCACACAAACTAAAAAACACCTTCCTAAACATCTACCATAACCTATTCAACCACAAATACTCAGATTCAGCTCCACATACACAAAAGGAACTTCTGGATTCACTAGAATTTATCCCCTTAGATGGAGACTCTCGGAGCTAGAAACTAACCTTGGGGCCCAGGAACTGTCTGAAACTTTATCTAACATGAAAGGAGGAAAATTCCCTTGGAATGGAATCCCAATTAAATATATAACATTATATATAACATAAGACTAAACTAATAGCACCTCTGCTCAATATGTATTAAGAATCTTTTGATAGGGGATCTCTTCCTGCCTCACTCAACACTGCAATAATTATGTTCCTATTAAAACCTGAATAACTATCAGCAATCAATGTGGATCCTATAGGCAATTCACCGTTCTTAACAACAACCTTAAAATTTTATGTGAAGTATTAGCAAAGAAGTTAGAGCTAATTTTACCCAAAATGGTACACTCTGACCAGAATGAATTTGTACAGGAAAGACAGGGCTTTCACAACACAAGAAGAGTATTTAACATACTTGTTACATTAACACCTCTTACACATAATCAAGCAACAAGACAGGAATATCCCTTATCTCCCCTGCTTTTTACCCTGGCCATTGAGCCACTAGCCATGGCAATCCATAATCACACCAATACAACATGAATAAAAACAGGAGAAATGGAACATTGAATAGCGCTGTATGCATATGACATAATCCTGTTCTGCTCCAAT